TTGTATCCATAAATAAAAAAAATTAAAATTTAACACTTTAAATAGAAAAAATAAAAAATTAATATCTTTAAATAGACAAAAGAAAAAAGTTAATATCTTTATTTAAAAATTGATAAAATTAATATTTTTAAATAAAAAAATATAAAATTAGCATATTTAGTTACATATTTTTCCTGTATTAATCATTCATTTTGGATTTCATTTGGGTATATATATCGATGAAATTTTTTATTGGCTATTTAGTTCTTAATTTTTGAAAGAAATTTGATGTTTTTTTCTTTCCCCTTTGATATTAGAACTTGTCTTAGATAGAGTATGGCATAGATGGGCAAATATTAGGGTTTAATCACTTAGAAGAAATTTTGATAGCCATCAACATTGGAGTTGCATTTTTCTATTGTTTTTTATTCTTTATCATGAATTTTGAAATCAGTTATTTTACTAACTTATTATAAATAAATTCATATAAAATTAACTGTATGAAACTATGTTACTTAGTGGTCATCCCTTTTGTGGAAACTTGTTTATATGTGAAAGTCTTAAAATCTATTTCACAGGCCCTACACCCTCTATCCCTGACAATTCTCCTAAGTCACAAAAAAAGAAAAAAATACAAATAAGATCAACTATACTTCCCTTATTCAATTGTTTTTTTTATAGCATGTTGATTTCAAGAATCACTTCCAATGAGCATTTACCATAACATGAATTAATTAAGTCTTAATTCTCATCATCAAATGACTTAGAAAGGCTATATATTCACTTTTATATTAAAATCATGAGATCAATAGTAAAAAGAGAATGAATCCCATATCAAGAATAAAATGATATTAAGATTTATAAATTTTTTTAAAATTTGAAATATACATGGAAAATCATGGTAGGGTTAGCAGTTACTTGTGACCAAGTAGTCATGAAAGGATTCATCGAGGAGAGGATGAAGATTGAGAAGAAACAGTAAGCAAAATTTATGGGAATTCTTCTGGTGAAGTTATAACTAATGTAGAAGTACTGCGTGGAATAGTGCTCTGTTGAAGCATGACTCATGAGTCACAACCTTCAATAGAAAACTCCTAAATGAACAAATGCTGCATGAAGCACTGTGTTGTGTTGGAGTATGTATGCATTATAAAAGTTACCAAAATACAAATATGTCCATGCTCAAAGTATATATGCATGTAGTAGTAGAGGAAAATACTATAGTTCCATTTCCATACATAAAACTAACATGTAGTACTTGATGGTAAGCAGCAACATATGCACTAGAATTCCTCCTGCAACTATGAATCACATGTCACTGTTATGGTTCCATTTCCATACATAAGACTAGCAGATAGTACTAACTAGTAAGCAGCAACATAAGCATTAGAATTCCACCTGCAACTATAAATCACATGTCACTGGGACCTTATCATATGCTTTAGGCTCCCTAAATCTCCGGGGAAGGATGCATCTACCACC